AATCGTGTGGCTGTTGGTTGTTTTAAATTCCCTGTATTTTTTTGTTGTAGTTCTTGTGTTTCCCTTCCCCTCCTTGGGTTTGTGCGCCGCCCTGAGTCCCCCCCCCCCCGGGAATAGGGCGGCATATAAGTAAAATGAACCTTGAACCTTGAAATTTTGGATGTGTCCGGGACTGAAAAGGAGCCTTAAAAACAGCTTTGTAGGCATTATCTCTGAAATGACTATCTTTCCCCCATTAGAATTTTTGAATGCCCAAGGGCAACCCAATGGAACTGGGTCTTGCTAAGCTGGAGGGGTGGGCAGAGAGCATTCCTAGCACACTTAAAAATGGAACGAGCCTAATTCTACCAGGATTAAGGTGCCCTAAGCAAGGCTGGTCAATTCAGAGTTCTTGAGAATTCTGTGGTCTTCCATCCCACCCACCCCCAAAAGGAGGTAGCTATCATTGCTGTTCCATTCCCCCTTTCTTTAGCTGCGCCTACCTGAGGGAAGAACAGGGTCTGGCAGCCCCTTTTTCATCTCTCCATCACCCCCATATTTGTACCAGTGAGGCAGATTTAAGTCTCCCTTCATTGCACAAGGGTAAAAACCGAGCTTCTCCCAGATTCTAGCATCAAATACAAGAGCCTCAAAGCTGCAAACGGTATTGTCCTGAGGTCAGAGGTCTGCAGAGCCTGGGAACCAGGGCTCACCGTCGGGAAGAGCACGCTACTTGCCGACATAATTGACAATCCTTCAATGAAAATAGTCTCTCGTTAAACTTCGGCTGGAGAGATCCATCCTGCCAGCAAAAAGGCAAGGAGGGAAATGACCAAGGGGAATCCACAAGCTCCCAGGCCATCAAAATCCCTGTGGACGTGGGGTCTCCTTTTGGTCAAGACAGCAGAATTGGGGTGAAGGAGGAGGGCCGCTCGTCTTCCTTCGAGGAAAACGTCGTAAAATATTTCCCGGAGCCGATGGTCCCAAGACCAAGGCCAAGGCTGCCGGATGTAGGGCAGAGGAAAGCAGCAAGGACCGTCTATCGCTTTCCCTAGATGGCATATTCGATCCTCGGCTCAGTTCAAGTGATGTTGACAGTCTCCGAAAGTAACCACTCCAAAAGCAGACAAACTTTGAGGCGCCTGGACTGCGACGCAGGCTACTCAGTGGAGACAGAGACGTTGCCCTGTTGGATGGGCAGAACGCCCGCT